CAAAGCCAAAGCCACCCTATCTCGTATATCTTTAAGTTTAACCCTGGGACTTTTAAAATCAGGCCAGTTCACAAGGTCTAAGGTCACGACAACATGCAAATAAACAAATGACTGCCAAACTAATTTTCTTATAACTAAAAACGGAATCACTTTCTAAAAGGTTTATTTGCAATTCTGAACATAGTGGGATAGGCAGGATAAACGTCGTGCTCAACGAGCAACGGAGTATACCCTTTTCGGGCGCCTGGGTGTCCGGTGGTTGATGACGGATCAAACCCTTTTGTCAAACCACGAAAAACACGGTGGTGCCATAGAAGGAACCTGTAATACTATATGCCCTATTATACTACACATCCGCAGCTACGCTGTCTACACTGAGTGGTGTGTGTTCATTATCACAGCAAAACCAAAAATTCACGAGGCGTTTATTGCTCATTGGTACTTAAAACCAACACAGTGCTTTAAAGGTAACCAAATGTACCCTATATTATTAAAAGACAATAAAAATAGGTGGCGAGTGTCAAACAAAATGCACAGGAACGAACCGCTGGGCATGGCGATGCCCTGGTAGCACATGTCCAGGTCCCGTCCAGTTTAGCATCCTAAACGTTCCTATGAGAGCATTAGGCTAAACTGGACAGGAAGTATTACCGTGAGACGGCTAAAAAGGGTTCCTGTCCAGTTTACGTTGGACCAATGAAGATGATGCTAGCGTTGACCAATAGAAATTCACCACCATGCGTGACAATCCGGCTGGTCCAGATCCCGTCATTGCCTCCCATGGGTATCCGAATACGGACACCACACTTGAACGCACTATGCGCCTAACGAATATATGGACGGCTCGGACCTAGTGTTCACCCGGTACCTGTTGCGGTAGTTTCTGGACTTGGGAATCCACCTAGGCGGCGACTCAAAGCTGTTGGTCAGAAAAGGAAACCGCTCTTACCGCGCACCTGACATCACAAGGCGAAAGAAAATTAAAACCGAGGTATAGGAATGCTATATATACATGAAGGGGTGCAGTACAAAGAACGTTAGTAGCAGAAAGCGGCATAGTCAATATTCTTAATCCGCTTCCGCGAATGTCAATGTAGGAGGCTAAAGATGTGCCTAAGGAAGCAGGCGACTCACCTCATTCGCACTGCATACTTTAGTTTGCTCAACCGACGGTCTTTTGTGCCGTGCAGAATGCAACCACGTTTTGATGTGCCGTGTAATGTCAGCATCCGAGGCTGCATCACCCATGCGTTGCCGAATGAGGCCTTGGTGGTTTTTATAGATTACTGCATTTCAACCTACCTTGTACAAGGCCGTTCATATTTGTTCGCCTGAATGCAAAGGAATCTCTAGCGTCGGAGTAATTTATCTCCGCGGCAAATGATCTTGTCATTAGCCGCTCCATGGTACCCCGGACGATGAGTTGTATGTTATCACCGTGCACAGCACATAAATGGTTGACCTAAATTAGTTGAATAATAAGACGAACTTACGACTCTGATTTTGAAATCGGGGTCCTTCAGCCGTTCATCATATCTCTTTAGCTCACTGAGAGAGATGAATGGCAGAGATAGTCCCGGCGCAACACTTTGGGATTGTCGTTGTAGCATTTGCAACATCGCTTCGGACATGCGGCGATGGCCGACCAATTCTGATCGAATTAGACACAACTCATCTAAAAATAAGGCTGATTGCAATGCAATACATCTGTGGCGTCTTACACTTTATGGCCTGCAGTTCCTGCAGCACCTCCAGATTGCTTGGTGGGACGTCAGCAATAACCGGTGGCGCGATTACTGTTTAATAGGGGCAGTATGAAATCGATACTTACGGTTGCTTGTTGATGGTCCTGGACGTGACGGACTAATGCCACTGAACAGAGAGGAGGGCGCACGTGCCTAGGTTGCTGAAGAAGGCCTTTTGGGTTTGCTTGGACGCGCGGCTTCCTCGTCATCGGAGCTCGAACGGACGGGCCGGCGTCTAAGGGGAAATAAAAAACACCATACTCACGTTGCACGCTTAGCTGGAAGGCCCCTGGGAATTGTATCGTCTGTCGATGGCAGCATCCCGCGTTCAGATTGCCGTTCCATTTCTCGGGCATGCTGGAAGCTAACTAACGAGGTGGGTTAATATAAGAGAAATACTTACTAGTGCTAACGATTATGGACACGGCAGTGCTGACCACATCGACATCCGGCGCAGTGTGATTTTTCACCGCTGCATAGTAGTGTGTACCCCGCACTGAAGGTATTTGAGCGCACGAACCTTCTTCTCTAAGCCAAGTGTTACTGACGATAGTTATTAAATCCTCGGAGTCAAGGAGTTTGACAACGCTGTATCCTGGAAAAGCCATCATTGCTGAAAAAGAAAGACGTTAGTAGTTAAAGTGTATAACTGTGTGGCATAGGGTAAATTACAAGAAAATCGTTCAAGGGTAAAGCAATGCACTTAAAGAGAACATGACAGGCAGAGAAGGTACCTACCTCAGTTGACAACTGCGATGCACGGAAGATGTACGCCGTTGAGGAATCCATGCTATGCGTGAACAGACTACGGAGATTCATAAATTCCCGGCATTGCACGACAATGTGCCCGGACACATTCACAGACACATCTGTCAGTACTCTGGGTTTGTCATCGATGATGACCACGTTATCCGACTTAACCGTGGAAAACAAAATGCCGTGCAAACAAAACGCCTTCTGACCCTTATAGGTGCACATCTCTACATTCCCAACGGTGCTTGCGTTGCTGGAAGTCGGAGGAAGCTGTTCCTCTTCCGACGTACGCCGCATGATTTGAGCAACCGGACGCGGGGAATTGTGAATCATGCGCTTGATGGAAAACAAGTGAGACTCGAAGGGAAATGCTGAGAAGCTGTCCAGAGTCCCCATCTTTCGTACGTCAGCGGGAAGATGAACCAGTGAGTGTACGTTCCACGTCATCTCACTGGGACCATAAAGATCAAAGTACTCATGTAAAAATACATGAATTAAAGGAACAAGGAAATCAAATAAGGCAGTGTAAAGGTGAGGGTGGCACATGATATAAATAGCAAATGAGAGATCTAGAAAGTTTTGATAGAAAGCGTCAGGCAATACCCCAATTAAACAAGCTGGTCCGGCGTATAGCATAAACTGACGCAAATCAGTTGCCTTCCAAGATCGGTATTCATCCAGTGATCGAAGCTTACGTGGAAAGTCCGGTGTCCAGGAAGGCCCGAACTCATGCAACCGTTCGTTTGCTAAAAGCAATCGCTCTCTGCGCAGTCGAAATCCACTGTCCACGGGCGAAGTAAGCCAGTTTTTTATCATTCTGCGCATAACACCCAAACATACTGAATGCATATAGTCAATTGGGAAGTCCTCAACCAAATCGACATTCAAAGCAGCAAAAGGCGACGGTTGGCTATCATTCCTCCGAACGGATGTATTAGTCCGTAGTGTGCTATCAGTAAGTGGGTACGTTACCTTGCGGCTCATATACGCACCACGTTGGGTGCATTTGTCACAGCTGTAATAACCCGAATGTTCTTTTTTTCTTTTCACATACGCGCGTGCAGGGGTATCACAGATAACGGCTTTAAGCTTGAATAATCCTTGGCGTTGCAAAGTACCTACCTCATTAATTGTGTCGTACAAGTAATCGTCCACGTCATTCGGCTTCGAGGTCCCACCATAAACACCAACAATGAATGGCTTCGTGATCACTGGATTTATGACACAGCACAAGATTGTCCATATATGCATCTTGGATGAATTAAAAGGTTTAAACCCGTCGATATGCAACTGATAGTCAACAGTGTCATCAGCGGCGAGCGAAATAGCAGAGCATGCACGCTGTAAACCTATCAGCAGACCTACGTGACCGTAAGTTCCCGGTAAAACAACGCGAATGCGGGAGGTCCGTGGGGTGCACATCAACGTCCTGTAATCCTTTGGCAAAAATGGCATCCACGGCTGCACATGGCACAACAGTGGACGAACAAAAGACGCAGGTACTTGAGATTTTCTTTTCTCTACTTTTCTTCACGTATTGGTATTATTTTCTTTTTTAAGTGCACTTCCCTATTCTGTACCTTCGATTTCTCTTCATATCCTTTGCTTATTTCACGTGACTGCCAAAGCAGGGACTGCTAGGGCAGGAAACGTGGGCATTAACTGGTTGGCCAGGGTGCGATACGGGTGCTTCCGTTTTAGATCCATCAATAACTGAGCACTTCATCAATTCCTGGCTCAACGATCCACTCAAAATGGAACACTCACGGGATTCTCCTATCGTTCCAGTCCCCAGCTGAACATAGTGGGATAGGCAGGATAAACGTCGTGCTCAACGAGCAACGGAGGTTATACCCTTTTCGGGCGCCTGGGTGTCCGGTGGTTGATGAAGGATCAAACCCCTTTGTCAAACCACGAAAAACACGGTGTTGCTATAGAAGGAACCTGTAATACTATATGCCCTATTATACTACACATCCGCAGCTACGCTGTCCACACTAAGTGGTGTGTGTTCATTACCACAGCAAAACCAAAAATTCACGAGGCGTTTATTGCTCATTGGTACTTAAAGCCAACACAATGCTTTAAAGGCAGCCAAATATACGTTATATTATTAAAAGACAATAAAAATAGGTGGCGAGTGTCAAACAAAAGGCACAGGAACGAACCGCTGGGCATGGCGATGTATTGAGCTTCAGCCACCCAGTATAACGCGATGGGATAAAACTCGCGATGCTCTAAAAATAAGGATTGACAGTATGTTCAGCAGTTATACAAGTTAGAACTCAAAGTATACCGCGACAAAGGAGCCACTCCTGAAAATCGAATTACGATCTATATGGATTGAAGAGTTTAGCGATGGGTTGTTAGTTTCCTGAACAACTACCAATTTAGTAATTTTTTAGTAAAATTAGAAAAGCAAGTAATCTTTTTTACAACTTAATGGCCTATTGTTCTACAAACCTTGGTTCGTTATGTTGAACCATAGCCACAGCTTAACACGTTTACCCTGAACATAGTTACGCAGCGGTGTTACGAAAATGCTTTTATCGCTTATATTTGTACTTAATATTCCAACCGGAAGAGCGGTTACAAGCAAGTTGCGGATTAAGAATCTAACAGCATTTATCAGTTGGTGGAATTAGCGCAGTACGTTTCGCTGATGAGACTAGTATTTATAAGGAAGGAAATGACGGCGTCTTAGAAGTTCTTTACAATGGCTCATGGGGAAGTATATGCACATACGGCTTTGACGAGCTAGCTGCATCGACAGCCTGTTTCATGATGGGATAGTAGGTTTCTTTATTCTCCTAACAATCTCTAAGTCAACCCCGAGGAGTGCCGATTCTTAATAGCGAGAGGCGCAGCACTTTACCTATATTGCTCTCAAACTTTAATTGTACAGGTCGACTAAAGCTATCCAGCACAAACCTAAGCACCGCAACTGTTCACCTTGGAGTGTGTTCCTTCACTGATGATATCCCACCAGACTGCATCAAAGAGCAACGGCAAACAGCTGTACTATGCCTTGGAGCAAAGATTGAAGAGACAACATCAAGTGGCCCACCGAACTTTGCTACAATTGCGCCGGTTGACTGTAAGATAAGCTACAACGTGTACATATGTTGATGGTGTCATTTCATTAGAGCCCTAATAAGTTTCTATTCACGTCTATTACAGTAACAGTAAATGCAGCACGATATTCAGGTGGTATTTTAAGGTAAATTACTTACATTTAGACTTCAGAACGGCATTGTCATCTACTTTATGCACAGTTCTTTACTACTTTTTTTAGCTTCAATCTTGCGATCCCACTTTGCATATAGAGATACCGCTTTACCGTAGTTTTGCTGGGTTGCACATTGTGTATCTGTATGAACCTCACCTAATGCTGACTTCTAGCAAGTAGGCTCATAGTTCACTTAGTTTATAGACTTGCGGAAGATAAGGGGAAAGTTTTCTTTGCTTCCAATTTATCGACTGTAGGAATAGTGTCACTACTGAATAGCGTTCCTAAGGAATCCTTACGGTCGCAACCAAAGCAGCAAAATGCAGGCGTGTTCAGCATGAAACCATCCATTCACCCTTTGAAACCTACCTCTTAAAAGGTGTATCAGGGGACCGTTTCAATCACTTATAATCCAGAAATATAGCTTGCATCTAGACAGGTACGGAACCTCCCCTGGTTAAGTAGCTTCCAAATGTGGCCGCGTATCGGGCAATAAACACTAAACTTTAAGAAATGATGCAGTTCTTTCCTCAATGACCCCATAGGATGCATGTATACAAGATCAACTCACTGCGGAACTGACGTTAGTTTAGAGAGAACAAATTAGTTTGCAAGCGGAATGGGCTAAATGATTCATGCAGCATTGACACTAACTTTGATGTACGCTTCTGAACGTTCTCGAGCAATGCGCATCCGAACTCATTGACAGGATGTAAAATAAGTTATTCATATTCTACTAGAAGACACAGTGGAGCGAAGAATGGGTGCCTGAAAATCGCAGGTGTCACTATGGAGAGCGAGCTTCCTAAGTCACATAAAATTCAGTTAGCTTTAACGATTTTCTGCATCATGACGCTGATATAGAAGCAAATGTTGGTAATTTTAGTTGTCTAGTTGATGAGCTGAATGTTTTCTGAGCTTGGCAGCCAATCTGCAGAGCTCAGCGAACAATCACACCACCAGCATGGCTTGGGTTTGTCAAGTTCAAAGATAACATTACTCCCACTTACTTCGCTTTGGCCTCAATGTCTGATAGGGTACCACCAGGGTGGCAGCCATCATTAAGGTCCAGTACCACCGATCTGGTTAACATGGCAATCACGACGACTGATAGAACTATCGTGCAGTTTATGGAGCACCATTTTCGGGTTGTCAATACATTCACGCCTTGAAACACACGAACACAGTTTGAGATAATTAGCATAGGTCCAGCAGTTAAACTAAAGTACCTTTGGGAAATCACTGTTAAAACTTTTTGGAGGTTTGGTTAAAGAAACTAGCCTGTAGAACAACATTTGTTATGAGAATAGGTCCGGAGTGCAATTTGATCACATGCACCCAAATATCAAGTGACTCTAGGAAATCAACCATCCAGGGGAGAAACTTGCGAATGACAGAGGTTCCTTAGATACTGTTAACTGTTCATAAAGCATCCAATCAAACGCTTTTTTGAAGTTTGCAAAGCAATTGTCTGCATCTCGTGAATGTTCTCTTTGCTCACAAGCATCAGGTAGTTTATGAATACAAGACCTTACCGTTTGGAAGCCGTTCTGAGCAGGAGGATAACTTCCAGCTAATTATATTTCAAATGCATGACAAATTTTTGAACGTCATTCATGAACTCACAGTTGGTTGCTAACATGTAAATTGGCTGCTTGATAACTCAGTATTGGCGGCTCCCTATTTGGTACAATAAAGTCACTGTCTATTCAATTGGAAGATGCCCCACAAAACAGAAGCCAAAAACTAATTGGCAGAAAGGTGGAGCATTGTGCTCCGTCATCGCCATTAGGGAAGATGGTCACAAGTTAACTGGACCTAACGAATACTTGATACCCAAATTTGGAATAGCCTAATTTTGTAGCATTGTTGATTGTAGTGTACTCCTAAGGAAACTGGTGATGGGATCAGACGTTACTCGTCAACAAGCCATCCGTCAAACACACCAAAGAACAAAGCAAACCTAAGAGAAATGATTGTGTTTCGTTATCATGGCGTAAATGCAGAACACATACATAATTGCCAACTTTGGTGTGTGTATAGGTGCGAGAAAGGATTTTCCGGATTTCTAAAAGATTGTCCGGCCACATAAGGCTTACGTCCTTGCTGTTTCTCAGATTACGTAAAGGTCTTGTCACCTTGTACTTACAGTAATTTTGCGTCCAATAGGTAAAATTGCGCTTATCACTGTTTCAGTCTTTTTTAGTACAGAGAGCTTATTTCCTAAATAATCCATGAGAAAACCTTGGTAAATGGCGTTTTGTGTTACTTAAAATAACTTGCACTATAATGGAAATCATGCTGGAGTGCAAGCTATTCCTTACGGTGTCTAGATCAAAATGTTTGTGGATGTCCTGGTCCATGCGGCTTGCAGCCATGGGCCTGCGCGCCATAAATTCCTGTGATGTAATTGTTGGACATGGATAGCTAGCTGTCGCGTCCACAATAATTAAAAACATCCAAATCTGACACACATGCTGTTGTTGGTATGAGCATAAAGCTAAGGATGTGCGGAGAATAACCTGGACAACTGTGTAGTCGAAAAAACTTGTTGGGTTAGGTTAGATCCGAAGATAGTCTAATAAGCTTGCATCAAAGAACTATGTGGAGAAATCAGTATAAAGTGCAACCCAGTCAAAAACCGAATCACTGAAGTCATATATCATTAAGCTGTCTCAGCCTCTAGCACGTATCTTTGTGAAGTTCAAAAGATGGCTATTCGTAGATAATGACCACCATGAGTGACCTTTATCCATCGTAACTCCTAAACTAAAGGAGTTACGATTCTTTGTCGAGATTACATGTGACTTCCAATGTGTGCACCATGAGGCCTGTCTTACAGTACAAAAGTAACATACTCCCACAGCTCTTTATTAGACTAGCCGCTCGAGAATTCTAATTTTATGATATACGTACCTCCCAATGTAAAATATCTAAAGAACCTGGTATTTCTGAATCCTACCAAGTCAGGTTGATGTTCTTAAATATGTGGTTTCATCTAGTTCATTCTATCTTTTTAACTGTGCACAATGATAGACCTAACTCTTAACTCACTTCTGACTCATAATGTATGGTTAGGACAAAGATTGGCCTAGAAAGGACTCAGTTTTTGAACTGCTCGAAACTTTCCAATTGGCAGGTTGCTCTTACTATCTACCCAGTGAGTTTGTAATTCACCAGCATGCATCGTTTTAAGTCAATCCTATAGGAAGAATTATAAAAAGACATAAAAGGAAAATCTTTTTAGACGTTAAATATGTAAATTATATTTTGGAAACCCTATTCATTTCGAAAAGTTTGTTTAAAAAGCGAGCTTTCGATAAAATTTACTACCATCTGCCAAGCCAAAAGTCAGAAACAAAGCTTATCCTATACTCAAACTTACTAAACAGGATGGAAAACATCCACGTTGAAAAGCTTGGTCATCTGTTAACTTTTGGGCCGAGTATTTGTAATAGGCTGTGAAACGTTTACAAGGAACCAGCAGGTTTTACGTGAGGGAATTCTGCATTGTTTAGGGTGATGTGGCTTTAAAGGGTAGAATTTTACCCTAATCCTTTTCTCCAACTGAAGCACTTTTGCGAGAACTAGTGTCAAACTGGACTAAAAGAATATAGCATAGGCTTATGTTTTGCAATCCTCCTCATCTTTACACCATTGACATAACTGTTTTAGCTCGCGGATACTTGGGTTACACTGCAATCCATAACAATTTGCCAACTGTACAGCTTATTAGTTGGCAGTGTTTACAAAGACAAAATTGGGGAAGCGCAACTTCAATTTTCCTGAAGGAGTTTCTGCACTAGAGGCAGCTTAAGGCAAACAGCGAAGGTTGTTGCTATGTATCTTGTACAAATTATGATATGCACACACGGATTTGGACTGAGTAGGATTAGACCATTTGGAGAGCGCCCTTTACACATTACAGCACGACCTGGCTTACGAAGAAAGCTGACAATTGAAGAAGCGGATTTTTGCAGTGGTTTCTAGAGATCTGCACTAACGTTACAACAAGGTATTTGCAGCCAATCGTTGCGTAACCAACGCGGAACGGTCTTAGAACAAAGAGTGACACTGTCATTACAATGCAAGCTTTTGGGATCCATCGTACCTTGTGTACGGTGACCTCATAAATAAATCATTTAGAGAAAAAGGTGACTTAATTTGATACTCTGAACACTTTGTGGCCTCGAAAATACAAATGACCATAAAAAGAGCTTGGAAGTGGCTGGTAACATAATGCAACTGCGTCCATTTCACTGTTTTCCTTCAGCAAGCAGTAAGCATATTTGTTTAGTTATCCTCACCGAGCATCTTGGCGATAAAACACAGCGTTTGCAAAATACTGCTTTGCAACATAAACTTCATGTTTTTTTCTTTTTATTTCGGTAAGTTCGCGTATGAAATGGATATGGACTACTCCCTAAAATTTCTTGGTATATATTAGTTTAAAAAACTGCTGGATTGCAACCGCCATATAGTTCAAGACATTTTACCTCAGGTACTGCTTTGAGGCAGTTTTATAATGAAAGTAAGTTGATCACACTTAAGATAGTCGGATATCTTGTTCTAGGACTATAATCTACTGGCTTGATTACTTCCCCTTTGTAGAGTTGTAGGTTTTAAAACTATGTCATATGCACTGCAGCCGTAACATCAACCACCTTTGTTTGCTGAGGCCTAAACTCAGTCGGATGGCACCCAGTATTTTCTGTCCAATTATCTCCGTCTCAGTACTGGGGCAAATACTTGCCTAGTTACGTGAGGGTATTCGTTGGCTCCGTCTTGTAGCCACAGTGCACTGAGCACTTATTGTTTCCCTCCAAGCATTTGAATACGTTACACTGTATGGTGGTTTCATAAAGGGGTAGGAACAGTAATTAAGTTAGTTCACTGTGAACACCACCATCTCCGTACGTCGGAGCATACGCTACAAATTCACCAGTTCCACTGTTGAGTTGTCTGTGATTCACACTTCGGAATAAACGATAATCGTCACGACCCAATAATTTCAACCTGATAGTTGTAGCTGATGTGTGTGTGAAAGATATTTACCATTTGAAGTGGATTGGGTTGCCTAGAAGAGCTATAAGACCCATCTGTAACTAGTTTTACATTTTTCTCCGTCTACCTTCTCTGCTATTAAAACACCTACAACTTGCGATAAAACTTTTGGAAAACACATAGCAACATCTTATTGCCTTTTACCTTAAATCATGTTCTAGCAAATATCTTATTTTTAAACGTAACCGGAATATCTCAGCGTCGTTCTTATGCAATAGGTGTTAAATGGGGATTTTAGCAAATGACTAGGTAGTTAACCAAGGTATTAAATTTAACCACAAACTGAGATGATCGACTCACACTCATCTTCCCTCTGCAGCAAAACATCTAAGAAAACCCGTGCACTCTTCTCAGAATTTTGGTAGGATTACTTTATCATACTTGCAAAACTACGGCAAATGTATGCAGTTACAGAAACGCATACTTTGCGCTAAAAAGCACCACAATACATATATGTAAACGATAATTTTAGCATCAATACATGTCGGTATGAGTTAGTGAGGTCTAACCATTGTAAAGACATAACCTTTACGGTTCTCTGCCGTGTGTAGTATTGCATGGCATCTTGACCGGCACCTAAAGAATCGTCCTACGTCATTCATAATCGCAGTTTCAGCACTCTCCAATGATCATGACTCTTATCCTTGTGAGGCATTTGGTTCCATTTCCTGGATATTGTTAAGAATTTATCCCGTTGATGATACAACCTACCGTTCCGGACAAATTACATGTTTCCTAGCTTGCAAAGAGGCTGTTCTCTTGCGATCTCCACATATTGCACCTGGAATTGCTTTCGCTGAGACTATATGGATCCTCCATTTGACTATGGATGGAAGTCTTTCCTGCCAATTTTACAACTTACCTCATCAGACGAATATCGAGTTAGCTCCATGAGGCCAGAACAACGGGTTTCTGCCCTCTCTTGCAAAAACCTTTTTACATGCCACAGAGTTTATCAGAATGTGTTCCAAAAATATTCATTTGACCATGGATGACGGTTTCTTCACCTATACTATAAAATGCCTAGGGAGGAGTATGGTTTAATTGTCTTGGAAAACCGCCTGAGCAGCCGGGTTCGGCACTTTTCACTCTTACCTGAAGACTCTTTCCAAGTACATTACGCGGTTTCTCAAGCGAGTAATACATATCATACTAAAAATTTCCCTCAGTTATTTACCTGCCAAGTGGGTTGATCAATGTTTATTCCTCCTGCTCCGACGATTCTTGCCCCAAGTTCATAAAACTCCAAACTTCCCGGCTTACTTGCTTTTTGACTACGAAGACAAAAGTATGTACCGAAAATATGTTGGTGTTGCGCATCTCAACACTGGCACCACACGACAGCGGTTTCGTCAAGTTTTGGAGTCCTCAGGTGAGGATAGCCTGAGCTGGGGTGGAAATCAGAGCCTAGTAGTTCACTGCTGACCCCATAAACATTATACCTCTGAGGTCCGCGAGCAACGCTTGATACAGCGCAAACGAATTCAAGTGGGACTTGGAGAATCAGTGGCATAGTGTTTCTGGCGGCAGCCGTGAACTACTAGACAACTATTTTCACCCCAGCTCAGGCTATGTCCACCTAAGGAGTCCAAACCAGGACAAAACCGCGGTCTTGCGGTGCCAGTGTCGGGATGTGCAACACCAAAAGATTTCCATTTCAGATACAGTGCTTGCGACCGGAATGACCAAAGTCTATCTCAAGGGAACCGAGGTCTCAATAGAGGTTGCTTGTAGCAACCCAAGCACACAGCGAATTCTCTAAGTCCAAGGAAATTATATATTTGGTTTGAGAAAAGCAATCCTGAGAGCCGGATGACGACCGTTATCCATAATTAACATTTTTCACCTCTCAAAGAAATGCCCAACTCTAACGAACTTGATCCATCTAACTTTTTCGCAAACATTTCCATTTTATGGCTAAAAATTACTGGTCGCCTTGTACAAATCTGTATTACCGATCAAGTTTTATTCGCTTGGTATTCTTTGCCACTGTTTGATCACACTTTTCTAGGTGTGTCTCGTTCCATCGAATATATATATATATATATATATATATATATATATTTGTTTACACAAACGCGTTTCCCAATTTCGTTGAAACAGGTTCCAACCCAACTAATCCGATCATTCGATTAGTCGGAGGGAATGATCGTGCTGGCTTGGTCGAAATACAGCATCCCCAATCTGGTGAATGGGGAACTATTTGCGCAGATGGTGCGGATATTAACACTGCAAGAACATTGTGTCGAATGCTCTGTACCAGTGCGTAAGTGAACGTATGACTATCTCCTACGTTACTAGCACGTTTCCCTTAGTTTAATAATGCAGTCTATTTTACCATTAGTATGGTTCATCGCTATAAACACTGTGGACAACGGAGGTATGCATGGAGAGAAGAAATCGTTAGCAACGCATAAAGTATGCACGCAAAAATTACTCGGAATCCGTCCTTAGAAGAGAAACGCAAACATCCATCAAGCATTTTAGATGCTTTCCTTACAGAGCCACTAATCTACATCGACCTCGAATCTAGTATAATGTGATACTGCAATTTTTTGATGTGATACTGGTGCATTTTAATGGCACTTGTTCATGTGTCTTACTGGCAATCACTTCGCCACTTGTTTGAGACTCCATAGGTTGGTAGGTTCCGTAAGTACCCCAATCCGTATAAAACAGTTTGGGGTTACATGGCGTAAGACAGGAATGTGGAGTAGTGCTGTATCATTAAAACTTCGTTTAATAGTTTCCACAACCCGTATCGTCTGCAGTTTGGACATCCATGTCAACCTTATTCACAATATGATATAGTTATGCATTAGCAATATGCTACAGGATGGTCGAGGCTTCAAACGAAGCTAATGTTAAACCCAAACAACAGCGAACTATAATTTTGTCTCCAGACTCAGAAACTTTGCTTTCATAGCCCTAGTGAGTCCAGTTAACCTGTTGAAGTCGTACAGTTACCTCATCCCCGGCTTGAGTTACTCGCTCAGGGTAATATCGGATTTCCCCCTAGGGACTCAAAAAGGTAGCATGTAACATTCTGCAGTTCATTGAAAGAAAAGAAGAGATTCATTGCTGCTTTTGCTTGAATACTGCGCTTCGTATTCCCTCCACTGAAGCAGATGTATTTTTGGTTGGTTGCGTTTCGTTATATATGGTTCGCGGCATCCAGTTTCGGATTTGCCTGTCACTGTGGCCAGCCACAGGACGCCTGCGCCTACAGAGGGACCATGGGTGGCTTGCGCTACACCACCCACAGCTCCGACCACACACCCATATCCAGTGTAAACCCGAAGGAATAAAACCGGGAGGCATGCGTATGGGAGCCAAGTTTCATTAACGGAGCCGGCCCACACTCCTTCACAGGCAAACACAAGCACACCGTATTTGGGAATCAAGCGCACACACGGCGGTGGCTGGACGGTAGTCCGCTCCACACTGAGTGCATGGAACCACTCTTCGAGCCTAGCACGGCCACAAGGACCGTGCACCCCGTCCCCTCCAGCAACGACCAACTGTCTCTTGGAGTCAGTATGGACGAGATAGTGGGTAATAGACAGGTAGGCACCTTGTCAACATGCACATCAAGCGCAGCCACACCGGCGATATCAAACAACAGCCAATCACTTGAGAAAAAGATAACCAAGAAAATAAATCGAGTGATGCATTAAGAAACGGTAACATGACTCTTAAATTAGTGAGCATATGAAATAAGCTGTTTACCAACGAATACGAGGTAAGTTCACGAGGTCAGGAAGTTTATCTTACAGAAATGCTACAAACACGAAAATGTTATCGAAATAACTACAAGTGGCTTAAGCGACGTGTGTAAGTGTATAGAAGAGAGTATAAGTAGGCATTTATATGTTAAAGAAAGGCATTAGGACAAAATTGAAAACCCACTACCTGAAATAAATAGACTTAGCATGCAAGCACGCGGTTAGTAAATCGAATGCAGCGTACCTACAACCGCTGCGCCGGTTCTGCCTACGTTCTCTGTAGGACCTGTCGTCGCTTCGGTAGTGGTCCCGAATGGCCTGGCTCATGGCTCACTAGGCCTGCCTGAGTCAGGCACTCGCGACTGCATGTGCTACAGCACCATGCGCTTGATGCTGATGGAGTAAAACCCATCGGTGCTTGCCGCTTCTTCGTTATATATATATATATATATATATATATATTTACTAGATGGAGGAATTGACTTTACTTGATCAGTCAGTTAACAGTATATCCCAGAAATTACAAGTCAATAAACCCGCACAGGCACCGAATATGAATCTCGAAGTTTACAGTCTAATTGCAGAACTGAAGCAACGCTACGAAAGTTTGTTTCAACTCGGCCAAGCTGACTTTATATCTCGCCTCCTCGGTTACCACTCGAATGCAAAGCGATGACTGCGTGATCGTATCTGTCAAATTCGAATCGGAAGTTCGGCGGATCCTGATTGACGGTGTAAGGGAGTTGCCAGTAACTTCGGACACAATTAGTGCAGAAACGGCTCAAGACGAAATCTTGCTGAAAGGTTTGTGCAGCTCGGTTGATATAATGTCAGAATTTCGACTGAATTAAGAACTTTTCTCAACCGAAGCGGATCACTTTCGGTCGTTGACAATTGTCTACTGTTTGGAGACCAAGTCGTGGTACCAATGGAATTGCGGAAGCGAAGCCAACAACAGTTTCATTAAGAAAATCCAGGAACCAGCCGAATGAAGGCACAAGCACGAAGTTTTGTGTATTGGCCTTAAATGGATTCAGAAATCGAACAGTTTTGCCAAAGTTATAAATCTTGTCAGCAAGTGCTAAAGGCCCCACCAAAAGTTCCGTGGCAAACTTGGTCCGTGTCTGAGAAACCCTTGCAGAGATTCCACTCGGATTATGCGGGACCAATCAACGGGCAGTCTTATTTGATTTTTGCTGATTCTTACACAAAGTGGCCCGATATAATTCTGATGCAAATACCACCGCCCAGCACACTATCAACAGACCCATCGGTACCACAGTAGAGTGCTTGTTCATTTCGATACCCCTATTCTGGCTGGGTCGTTCATTGCGCGTACCACTAAGTCAAGTGCCTCGATGAATATCGATCGTCGCGGTTGCGCTTAACTTTGTGAAGCTCCGGGGAGCAACGTGGAATTACATAACCAAATTGTATGAGGAGGCTCTCTGAACGGCTACGTAGGATTGCTACTTGTCGCAGTCCTGTATTGGACCACATGACAGGCAAAATCTGTGGCGCAGTAGAAAAAATAATGGAGCCAGCTCATATGTTTTCTCGTTTCTGACTATTAACCACTTCCTCCGCGGATCCCAATTTTTGTCTATCTGGAGTGAGTTATTACCGTCATTAGTAGTATTTTGATGAACTATCTCAATCAAACTGAGCGATTGATAAGCGGAATGTTATAGATAGTAACGTTGAAATATCTACCTCTCCTTCTTTTACCTTTCCTGGGTAGCGCGGTAGCATTAAAATAACGAGATTTTTTCTTATCGTGAGTGTATAATGAATAATACTTTGTTAACATACAACTAAGGAGCATGCACAAACCAGAAACCTTCAGTTAATTGATTGCGTTCAGGTCAAAGGCGTTATATCGTAGGTGCTTCCTTTTTGTATACGTTAACAGTGTATGTAATTCACGTCCTTTGTTTAATTGATAAATCTTGTTACCTTCGTCACAATTATGAATCCTCTTTATTATCCAACAGTGACAATTTGAAGTACGCTTACCCGGTGTTATATAGCTATGGTCAAGTGCCTGATTCCGTTCCGATACATTTGGCTCGAATAACTTGTCCTGCAGATGCGGCCGATGTGAACGAGTGCGATTTGGGTGGTGGATGGGGTGCAGTTGGATCGTGTGTACATGCCATGGACTTGGGTCTACAATGCGGTCCGCCTGACCCAGCACTACCACAGAGTAAGTCCATGCCACTTCGCATTTGCAACTGTGTTCGACAGCGAATTTGACCGGAGTAGCCCTTTAATTTCCAAATTAACTCGTGTTTTATACGAATTTTATGTTTAGTTTTGACTATGCATAGTTTGTGCAGTCTATGAGAGGTCAGCGTATATGCACCAAAATTTGTGTACGTCGCCTCAAACAACGAAATTCGGTGAAAGGAAGCAAAATAGTAGGTTAATCAGATCTATGCGCTTTTCGTGCAACCGGAAGTGTTGAGCCGGTAATCTGTTCTCCCAACCCTCTTCAGACCATCAGCTGATGGGTTCTAGCACATGTCACTGATGGTGCACGCTCTTGATTGCGCCAGTGAAAGTCACAACTCACTGTCTTTGAACTAAATGCTAGGTCAGATCCACTTTAGCAACGAATGAGATGGCTGATTTTTCCGCTTTGTGCATTAGCGAATATCATCCGTTAACGCGAACCCTAAGTAAGGCAGCGGCTTCTGCGTTAACGCCCTGGTGTGCGGGTATGTGTATGCGGAAATTATACAAACATGCCACTTTGAGTACGATAATTGGCGACAATCCCTTACAAATTGCTTCATCGTCTTGGACATCACAGCCATTAGCATAACAAAAAACTGAAAGTGGTTCGCGTTGTTTCACCCCTAACCACTCACATACATCGCATAATTAAAGAAGGTTGGCACCGGCACAGCACTTGGGCGAACTTAATCATTCTCTCTATAGCCCCCATTGAGCACACACTGCCCAGGGGAATGTGACTTTAATCATCATATCCGTCATGCACTATACCATTTCTCTAATGCTTGCATCCTTAACACATTTGCTTGCATTCTTGGCGCAAACTCTATAATCCGTTAGTCACGAAATTAACATCCACGACACCCTGAGTGGTCAACCGCTATCAGCCAATAGCATTCGGATGATATGCCGGCCTGTCTGTTTGACATAGATGCAGCTGGGGTATGTAGCCATCGCGCTTTTGGGGGGAGGGTGTAGCAAAAATTGGCAACTCCTAAGCTGGACCCAAGCAACGGAGTAGACGCACGTGTGGTCAAACTGAAATCATTGGCGATTGATGTCGCTACACGGACGTCAGTCACCCGCTTGTCTAGGTGTGCACCAGCATTGGACAATAATGGAGGTGGAGGCAGATACATGTTCACGAACTGGTTCCCAAACCTGGGATATGAAGGTAAACCGAAGTCAGCACAGTTCTGTACGACACAGACGCAGCACTGAACTGGTCCGGAACATGGGGTCATGCCCTCTGCCGTAAATTGTTCGCTAAGGCCATGTGTGTTCATGTGTCGTCTCAATTCAAACGAACATCTCGCTTGCTCGCTCAAGCCCTTTATTTGAGACCGTTTTAACCACAATCACAAGGCTCAAGGCAGGGAGCATGATCCCATGTTCCGGACATGCCTTCTCTAGTGTGTCAGGTGTAAAATCCAGAATATAACTTATCCCAGGCTTTGGAGGTTGGGAACCAGTTCGTGAACAAGCTCTTGCTTCCACCCCCTTATTGTGCAATGCTGGTGCACACCTAGACAAGCGGGTGACTGACATCCGCGCAGCGACATCAACCACCGATTAGTTCAGTTTGACCGCACGTGTGTCTACTCCGTTGAGTGTGTCTAGCTTAAGTGTTGCCAATTTTTGCTACCTCCCACCACCCCCGAAAGCGCGATGGCTATATACCCCAGCTGCATCTATGTCAAACAGACAGGACGGCATATCGTCCGAATGCAATTGGCTGATAGTGCTTGACCACTCAGGGTGTCGTGCATGTTGATTTCGTGACTAACAGATTATAGAGTTTGCGCTAAGGATGCAAGCTGCTACACTACACGTGCAAGCGAATGCGTTAGGGATGCAGTCAGTTGCAAGTGATTTAGATGTAGGAAGCACTCAAGGGAGACGCTGGTTCTACACGATCAGCTCCGGACTGTTACTCGCGGATCTAATTTCGGGGAGGCGCACATCACAACCATTAATCACGCATTGCTGACTAGTCAACCAAAACTGCTAATCTCACCACAATCTGTGCTGACCGTAAGTATCCCAGCATTCATAGTATCTACCACCAAATCTGGCATATCACAGTTCACACGTGGGGTAACATCTTTATATTCGTAAAGCTTGCTGTTCAAGTTCAAGTTCACTTGGGACCGGAACGATAGGATAATCCCGTGAATGTTCCTTCTTTTGCGTATCATCGGATCGGGAATTGACAGGTCTGTTTGAGATGTTGAAAAGCCCAAAACAAAGACCGCATCACACCCTGTCCAACCAATTACTGCCCACCTTTTACTGCCCAGCAGTCCCTGCCAGGCCGGTTTATGTGAAGTAAAAGAGTAAAGGGTAAGCTAAGAAAACAAGAGGAGGAATGTCAGCTAAATAAGGATAATACCAAGGTGAGAAGTAAATTAAAAATAACAAAGGGAAAGTTGGAGATATAAGTCGGTTAGGAGCAGGGGAAGGTTTGGTACTGCCACCCAAGAGCATCTAACTGACGCTCGAAACCCTCTGCCGTAGACTCCCTAACCACATGCGCCGGAAGCGAGTCCCAACGTTCAATAACTTGACACGACAAGCGAGTTTCCGTCCTTACCCGGTCAGAACGCTGTTTGTGCAGCTTCAACGGGTGACCTCGGAGACTAGGCAGCTTGGCGGGACTAAATAGCCAATACAAGTCTGGACCGATCTTACCCGTTAAGATATGCTAAGTGAGGATCAAGTCTCCTCTAATTCTGCGGTAGTGCATTGAGTACATACCCAAGCTAAGCAAACGTTCGGGATACGTTTGCCCCCGTAATCCTTGCACTAACCTTGTACCCACTCGCAAAACCCTCTCCAGTTCCATTTTGTCCCTTACAAGACAAGGTTGAAAAGCCTGGATACAGTACTCTAAGTGAGGTCGCACAAAAGCTGAGAACAGCTTCACAAAAATATTGGCCGTTAGGACACCGAAGGAGCGGTGAATAAACCACATCATACGGAACCCTCTACAAGCAGCCTTCCTCCAATTTTCCCCAGAGTGAAGCAATGAGGTATGGGTGACACCTAGATCAACCTGCTGAATGACAACAGGGAGTTCACTTCCACCAACTACATAGCGCGTGGGGGGGACCAGCACCTCCAATGCGGAGGACAGAACATTTCGCCTGATTTATGGGCATCAACCATAAGGTTGACCAATCCCAGAGCCCATCCAAGGCACTCTGAATTGCCTCAGAGCCACCACGGATATCCACAATATTCCAGAGCTTGAGGTCATCAGCAAACAATAGCGACGGTACTCCAAGCTCCTGGGGTAGGTCATTGACATAAATTGCGAAAAGCAACGGCCCTAGAATCGAGTCCTGCGGAACGCCACTAAGAACAGCTTGTCTAAGCGAAAGGCTACGCCCCAAGCGTACGCACTGTTCTCTGCCCTCTAGGAAAGCAGAAACCCATTTAAGGGCGGCTCCAGATATCACATACGATCTCAACTTCAATGAAAGTCGTTGATGTGGGACAGTATCAAAGGCTTTCGAGAAGTCAACGAAAAGCACGTCGATGGCGTGACCGTTGTCTACTGCCTCAGCCCAGCTTCCACGAGCTACAAGTAAATTTGTCAGACATGAAACTCCTTTACGGAATCCGTGCTGGGCCGCACTGAGAAGGTTAAACTTAATCAGGTGATTCTCCACCGAATCCCTGACCAATTTTGCAAACAACTTAACTACTACACTTGTTAAGCTGATAGGCCGGTAGTTCGCGGGCAGAACTCTGTCCCCGCCCTTAAAAATCGGACAGATGCTTGCTTTCTTCCATTCCGAAGGTAAGGCACAGCTGTCGAGTGATATTGTAAACATGCATGTCAGAGGGCCACTTAGCTCAGCGGCCACTTCATGCATCAGCTTCGGATGAATTGGATCAGGGCCAGAAGCTGAGGGTTACCTAAACGAGGTCAAACTATATGGATACCACAAGTTGCTGATTTCTTGCGAATGCTGACGACTGTCACACAGCTGATAAAAAGCAATAACACAGCCTAAAATTCTAAAAATATCGCCTTCAGTGGGACTCTCTTAAAACAAATGATGTTTCTGCCCACGGTCATTTGGCATTCAAAACCTCGCAGACACCTAAACGTTTAGTCGTACAAATTTCCATATACAGACTCAGTTAGACATTTGTGACAGCAGCAGGCTTAAGTTTCGGTTCCAATATTCCTTCATTGATAGTTATGCTACTTTACGCTGGTGATGCTACCTTTGTGATATCGAACAAGGTATGGTTTCTGATGAGCGGATCTAAGTAAAGTAGATAAATCTCTTTAAGTAAATACCAAACAGAGCCAGTTAAGAGGAACCTGAATAAAATTATTCTTTGTTCTCATATGCTTATGGATATGAACAAGTTGATGTGTTCTTGAGACAGTCTACCTTTAACTGACAGCGTACTGGTATCGTTCACAATACCGCTGTCATTTGGGCTTGACAGCGGTGTTCAGAATTCATAAACGTTAAAGGTATGGCATATACTTGCCTTGATACGAGGGTATCCGAGGAATTTATGGTTAATTACTCGAAATGGACCCGACATCACCAACGAAGTTGCTCTCTCTACGCACCCATAACTATCACCATTGTTAAGGCAGTGTATCGCAGTCAGCTAAAGTACAGCCCATAAAGCCTAATACACCGGTTGGTTGTTCGCATTTCGACTGTTGTTGGTCTATACAGCTCGATCTTTTCAATCCTTTCCGATTACGAGCACGGTGTTAGCCACAGCAACATGCATTGTAACTGGTATTGACAAAAGACTATTGAAACGACAGTCTCATGGACACTTGGATTGGTTACAAGGGGTGTGGATATGTCTGATACCCAGAGGACTGCAGCTGCTGCATGGATTCGGGTTGTCAATAGATTACTGAATATTAGACAGACGTCACATAGTGATGGCCACCACAAAATAGCTCAAGTTTCCTGCTTCTGT